TTGTTTATTTGTTGTCTTCCTCTTCAGGAAATAAGCTTCCCAAAGGAGAGGGCATCATCTGTTTTGTTTCTGTACCTCAGTGCCCAGCTTATATAGTAGGCCCTAAACAAATATCTGTTGAATGGGCGAATGAACATTATTGAGCATATGTGTCATAAGTGTAAAGAAGGGTTGGGCATATGTTCTGTCCTTAAAGTGTTTTCATTCTAGTGTAGATTCCTAAGGATGGTTACTTATCAGAGTCACCTGGGAAATGAAAGGGCAGATTTTGAAGATAGACTTTATCAGAGTTAGAGTCTTCAGGGGTGAAACCATAGCATTACATTTTTTAAATTCCCTGATAATTTTAATGCAATGTATGTAGAGTATTGCTGGTAGAATTCACTGGTTGAAAAATGCTCCCTAACCTTGACCACACCTCTGTCAGATATAACCTTTACCCTCATTTTATAGTTGAGGAAATTGGCTCAGGGACTAAGTCCCAGTCACAGTTCATACAACTAGTAAACTGTCCCACTGGGATTGAAACCATGTTTTCTGATCCTAGAGCATATGCTTTTCCCACCCTGTCCTGTTGCCTCTGCACTGACAGGACTGGTTTATAGCTCTTCAAGTTTTCAGTCTGGGTTTGCTCAACTAAAGCTATATACAGAGGCAAAACGGAAAGAAACCCACTTCTGTGCTACTGCCAATCATTTTTACCATATAGAAGGATTGAGGATAATGTGTTCCTGTAAAAATTATGGTTGGAATGATTTGAATATGCAGGAAGATATTTTGTGCCAGGAATTCAGGCTGTAGGAGGTAGGAAAGAAGAAGAAAATTCTGTAAACTGGTTGTGTTCGGCCCTCCTGAGGAAACTAGATTTAACTTCAGTTCAGATTTTATGAGCAGATTTATGTACTCAGAAATATTCTCCCATCCCCCTCAACAAAGTAACAGAAATAAAAGACCTAAAGTTATTACTCAGTATCCAAGACATAGGAGTGTTAATGAGGCCTGTGCACAGTCTAGAGAGAACAAAGGAGAAGGGAAAAAAAAAAGAATTAAAGGTTAGAAAGCTGGGCTTTTGAGAAAAGGTTAAAAGCATTGGGATTATTTAACCTGCAAAAGTGAAAGAGGAACAAGGTGATAAATAACTCTTTGTAGATGAATTGTGGTTGTTTTTACGAGTCAATACTTAATGAGTGACTTGTATACTGAGCATTATACCAAATATTTTAGGGGAATAATAAATAGCTCATAGTTTCAAGGACCTTAAAATCTAATAGAGCGATTACAACACATATATATCTCACAAGTATATGTATGTTTTCTCAAATTTAGAGAAAGATCAGAGAGCTGTCACTCAAGACCAAATGCTACCAACTTGGAAGAACCAATTAGGGAGGAAGGTGTCTAGGGGAGTTGGGGATTGAGGAGGTGCTGGGGATATTTAGAGAATGGGACACTGCCAAATTGTGTTCCACAGGATATAAATTGATATAAGTCAAAAAGATGACTACATGGTCAAAAGAGTTTGGAAAATTCTGAGTTAAACAAATGACAGGATTTTCTTTAATGCAGATAATTTGGTGGCTTTAAAATGCTTGTGTGCATTGTCAGTTTCTAAAAAGGAACTTATTAGGAGACAGATCCAACTCTCACTTTTTGGAAGGTCTGGGGCAGAGGGAGACTAGTATTGTCTAGGATGTATTTTGGAAAATGTTGCCATGATATTTGATAAGGTAGATTTTTATGGCCTTGAGACAAAACATATTTCATTGAGAGATTTTAAAGAGAAGACCACTTAAGCAGATTGAGAGAGTCTCACAAAAAGAAATTCTTTTAAAATTGATTCCAGTGAGGAGGAAGCAGGAAATGGAGTGACTGAACAAGCTGATAAACAGCAAATTTAAAACAAATGAAAGTGCTCAACTATGAAAAAGTATCCAGGAATAATATGGATGTAGATGAACAGCGTCAAGAATTGGCTGAATGTTGGAAAAAATGCTAAGGACACCATAAATAACTTTTAAAAATGGAAAATAATGCAAATAAAGCCTACTCTAGATTATTGCTTAAGGTGACTGGTAGCATAGTTTTGAATGCTGGAGAAAAGGGAGGACTTTTCAACTCATAATTTAATACTAATTTTTCTTTTTTCTTTTTGGTCAAGGAGAATGAGTTTCAGTGTGAAAAAAGAGCAAAATAAATATTGGTTAGAGGAAATAGATATTCAAATAGAAGGTTGCTCTAAATGAATTTGTATGCCAACCCTGAAAAACGATACATTAAGGTACTCAGAATTTGCAGACAGAAATTATTTAACCACTGTTAAGTATTAAAATATTGTGGCAAATAGGATCAGAACCAGAAGACAGAAGGTGAGCAAATGTACTACCAAATTCCAAAAAGGGAGAGAATAGCAAAATATAATTTTAAACCTGTAAATCAATGGTCTTAGCATTGATCTTGGACAGTTTTCTAGATTATGGCATTTTAAGTTTATTTTATCAGCATTTAGCAAGAAATGTAGTGATCACTGGAAGCTAATAAGGAACTATTTAAGAAAAATCATTTCAGACATCTCATTTTCTTTTCATAAAGAGCAACAAGATTATTAGATCAGGGAAATGCTATAGACATAATGTGTTTGAATTCTTTAAAGCATTTTATGAAGCCTCATGTGATATATTTTTTTTAAATTGGTGGATTCGTAATCAGTCAAATAATCACTGTTTGCCTCAGAAGAGGTCTCTGGTAGCAGGTCATGAGGACTCTGTCCTTGGTTTGACCTAGTCTACCTTGCTTCAGGTGCTTAGATTATAATGTTGATGGTCTGCACCCAATAATAAGAAACTGGAAGGAGACTGAATGTTTGATGACAAATTGAAGCAATGGGTGAAATTTCATTAGGTATAATTTAATAGAGATAAATGGCAAACCTCGCATTAGGTAGAAAAACAGCTCCATCTATTCATGATAAATTTGACAAAGCTTAATAGTAGCACATGTGAAAACAAAATATGTTTTTCGTTAACTGTGAATGTATAGCAGTGGGTCATGGCTGCTTTAGATTGTTGAAGCTGATAGTTACTCCTTTCTAGGTACTTGCTAATCCCAAACAAATTGGAAGAATTGCAAAGAGATGGGTTTAACCTCTACATATAGATTTTCAGCAATCGGAGCCATCCTTTTATGGGCTATGTTTAGTGGTATTGATTTATCACTCTATTAGAGTTCTTCTTTAGATGGAGACCTCATGCTTCCATTTTTGGAACATTGCACAGAAAATATAGGGTTCGAGAAGTGCATTGAGTAACTTCTAGGCAAAAATCCACACACCCCCAGCTTTAAAATTCCACAATTTCTTGCTTGATGGAGTATGGATAAATTACATAGGCGATGAAGGGGCATGATCGAAGAAGAGCTTGTTCTTAGAGGGAAGCATCAGGGATGTCATTTCCAGGAAAATGAATCTTGAATCAGTTTAGTAGATAATGGCCAGGTAAACTTGGCGCAATAAGAAAATACTTTTGTTTATAACTAGATTTGCTGGTATGAGGCGAGTAATCGTCCAGTAAAGAATACCATTGGTGACTTCACAGATAGGTTTTATATTTACCTTATATATCGTGTGTGTGTGTATCATATATTTTATAATACATTGTATAATACATATTTTATGTATATATATTAGCTGAGATGATTTTTAGCATTCTTAATTTTATATATGAGAGAGCTATCCTGCTATTTTGCTATTATATATTTTATTTACATTAAAATATATGTATGTGCATATGTATAAGAAAAAGGAAAAACAGGATGGTAATTATCTCAGAAAAAAGTTTATCTTCCCAAGGAAAAGGAGGAAAGGTACTAGTCACTTACATAAGATCCTTTGATGACAAATATGGGGAATTTAAGACTTATAGTGGTAAGCTTTCTCTAGGTTATGCTATATAACAAACAAGCTCAAAATCTCATTGGTTTACTGTGGCAAGCACTAATTTTTCATTCATATAACATGAAGCTGTTATGGCTTTTCTCCATATTCTACCTCTAACACACGCTGAACATCTAGAGTTCATGTAGAGTTCACCTAGAGTTCATGTAGATAACATGTAGAGTGTCTACATGTTAGCTGTTATGGCTCTTCTCCATATTCTATATTGGCTTTAGACTTCTCTGATTCATACCCTTCTCATGGCACAGGAGCAAGAGAGACAAAGCAAAGTTGTGCAATTGCTTATAAGCTTTTACTTAAAAGTGCCATATATCATGTTCTGTTCACCAAAGTTAATCACATGTCCAAGCTCATATCAGTGGAGTCGAGAAGTATACTTGGCCAAGGGTGGGGGTGGGGGGGAGTATGTATATACTATACGTATGTAAAAAGTAGTAAAGAAATATTTGTGAACAATATACAGTACAGTAGAGTCATTTTGGAGGTTCTTAGATGGAAGACTGACATGATAAAAACTAAGACAATGTTCTCAGAAATAGTATCAACTGAGGCTGGGGACATTGAAAGCAAGAAGAGTAACTAATCAGGATAGCTTGTTTATTTTCATGACTCTGTAACTTTCATCCAATTATCAATATCCTAATAACAAAATTTCAGAACAGCTAATCTCATGATGTCTGTCTTGGTACTGTATGCCCCGTTATATTAGTTCAAGCCCTAGAGATCTTATTCACTTTTGTTTGTCACAAACTATGAGAATTTGGTGCTGTAAATTTTGCTAGTCAATACTGTAGAAGAATATTCAGTAGTAAAAAGAAAGAAACTATTAAAACATGCAACATCATGAAAGAATCTCAGAATCATTATGCTATGTGAAAGCAGTCAAACAAAAGACTACCCACTATATGAACTCTTTCACTGAAATTCTGCAAAAGGCAAAACTATGGTAACAAAAAGCTAATCAGTTGTTGCCTGGGACTAGAGGCTGGGGAAGAGATGAACTGCAAATGGGCAGAAGAAAGCTTTTTAGGGGGTTGAAATGTTCTATATTATGATAACGATAGAGAATATGTCAAACTATGTACCTACTAAAATAGGTGAATTTTATTGAATATAAATTATACTTCAATAAAACTGCAAGAAACAAAAGATTATGCTGAATGAGTGAGGATAAGCTTCTTTTTAGGAAACTAAAAGATAATAATAATAATAATAACTCTTTCCATAAATCTTTGAACTTTTGTGTGTGTCTGTGTTTTAGGAAGAACTTGAAACAGCCAAGAAGTTCCTATATTATGAAATGGGCTATAAATCTCGATCGGAGCAGTTAACAGATCGCTCTGAAATTAGCCTACTGCCTTCAGACATCGACAGGTACTTCTAATAACTTTCTATATCTCTTTTTTTCTTCACTTACATAAGTGTGTTTTTCCATTATTCACTGTTGTATTCCAGGTACAAGAAGAGATTTCATAAGTTTGATGCAGACCAAAAGGGCTTTATTACCATTGTTGATGTTCAGCGTGTGTTAGAGGTAATTTTTTTTTGGTTCAATATCTTTGATAGCTAAAGAATGTAAAGATTATATTAGATAATTTTTTTCATTACTTTCTATAAGTATTATTTCTCTTTTAATTTTTGTAAGGTTGGTAACATTAAGAAAGGGTTTGTATAATTTTAATTAAACTTCCTTGTTTTGTGCTTTTCTTTTATTTAGAGTATCGGTGTTCAAATGGATGAATATACACTACATGAAATTCTGAATGAGGTAGATTTGAACAAAAATGGACAAGTTGAACTCAATGAATTTTTGCAGGTGAGTTGTAGTGAAAGGAAACAAGTGTATTTGCTTTTTACCTTTTGGTTGTCAGTGGTGTTCAAGAATAGATTTTTAAGTATGCACAATTGTCACTTCATTCTTAAAAACTGAAGAGCTTGAAAACAGCAAAGATTGGTGTATCTGTCCTCGAGGATAAGGCTTTATGTTGTATATGTTTTTTTTATTTTTTCTTTTCATAAGACACTTTCTATTGTATTGGACAATTTAGATGAAATCCAAGTTCATTATGGCTTAAAGGGCTGAATAAGAAGTATATTTTTTAAAGAAGTAAGTCACAGAATAATACTGCTGGACCATTCTTTACTTGCTTCAAAAGAGGCAACACAATATTTCTAATGTAGAAAGTAATTTTTTTTTTAATAAAAAAAGTTTTAAAAAATTGTAGTGGTTTTCATTTGAGAATCACATTCACTTGAGAACCTGAAATGTACTTATTATATTCTTACATTATAAAGAATCTGAAAAACAAAAGAAAGGAAATATGCTTTTTGGGGTCAAGACCATATACTCTCAAGTATTTCTATTTTCAATTTTTCACTTACCCAAGGTTCAATTATTTAATCATAACCGTGATGGAAATACGTTTATTACATATTATTCCTTAAAAGTTCCTTAAATGAGAGAAATTCAGCAAACCCCTACATTATTCGTAGCTGTCCATGGGATTCTGATCATATGAAGAACGTATTGGTTTCCAAGCAGTCAGGTTTTTTCTGTAGTGCTTCTTGGGCAGGTATTTCAAATGAATGCCAGATCTTGCTTGCACCATGGCAATGATGAATGCTGAACATGAAATAAATTAATGCTGGGGATTTTGGTCAATGTCAGCCCTTTCTTCACTGTGTCGAGTTAAACAAACAAGATCAAGGCAAAAGAAATGGTAATTGTCTCTCTGGAGATGAGCTGCAGATAAGAGCATTGTTGAATCTAAATGCAGAAAATTTTCACAGGCTGTGTCCAGCATTACAAAAAAGAATGTTTATTTCTTTAGCTTACTGTTTAACTAAGTACACATTTTAAATTGAGTTTAAAATTTATGCTTGGGAGTTAGAAACCATTTAATACTTTTTTTTTTTTTTTTGGTTTAGTTTTTTCCTGAAAACATTTTATTGTCTGTCTCAGGATTTCAGAAAACTTTTCTTTAAAGAAATAGCTTATGTTTCATTTCATATGTGTCGTAAATAAACAACAGCATTTAGGGTTGGAAGACCTGAGGTTTTAGAAATAATAAGAATCTAATTTTATAGATATGCTATGTGGTTTGGGTTTTAAGTAATTTTTTGAGTGCATAGAGTTAAACACAAAATAATTTAAACCATCTGCAGGTTGTCTTGTACAGTTTTTAATAATTGAGTATTTCTTTCTTGTCCAATTCTAAATGAAAGAGACTATTCATGCTTCTACTAAGTACAAATACACAGTGTAATTTTCAGCTTAAAAAAATACTGACCATATTTCTCATGAAATATATTCACACCCAAATGTTATTTTTTTTCTTGTAATATGGTTTCGAGATACATGTGATGTTTAAAGAAAACTCTGAATTTTTAAATGTTGGTACATCAAATAGTATTTATGGGTAAAGAAAAAATTCTAGTTCTATCAGTTTTTTTAGCTCTGATAAAGTTTGAAGGTCTTCATGGTATCAGAGACAAACAGTAAACAAAAATTGTTCTGTCTTCAAATGTCACTATTCTTTATGTTACATTGTTCATCAGATGCACAGTATGTTTTCATATATATAATATTTTAATACAATATTTTCCTCTTAAGATTAAGAGCCCATGTTTATCTCATTAAACACCCTTTTGAATATAGATATGATTTTTCAGTAATCCTCATAAAAGGATCACTATAGATATTGCATGGTGACTTTATTTTTAGGTTTAGACTGTAATGCCTCTTCTGCTTATAGGAGTCCATCTCTAATAAGCAATAGCTTGTGAAACAGCTTTTAATAAGGTCATGAAATTCTGCTCTAGCACCTTGGCAGATGCCTCTGACTCTTGTTCAGAGCCATTTTTAAGAAATGTATCTCTGTAGGCTAAAAATTAAAATCCTATAAATATTTTGAGAATTTGTGTATATGTATATATTTTTTTCTGGTGAATAGCTAAATCAGTTCTTTTTAAAATAAATAAATATAAATAAATAAATGACATTGGGGGAGCGATATTGAGAAAAGCAAATAGTTAAAACCACATCAACTTGAAAAGACAAAAAAAATTCCCCATGCTCGTAATTGCAAAGTGCCTTCCAGATTAAAGGCCTTTGCCCGCTTACTGCATGTAATTTCAAGACTAATTCTGATTTTATCCATTGGATAAAAATGAATTAGCTAAAATCTGGGCTATGGAGTGCTTTTAATTCTTAAGGTAGATCTCTGGGTCCATTTTCAAGGACTTAAATGTAAATTACTTTATCAAGTCTTTAAGGAATTTGGATTTAGGGGACTTGAAGTTGTCAAGTACAGTAACATTAAAAAGAGTTGTTAAATGTAGGTCATGATTTGTCTTTGTTCAATCCCTGAGATTCATTTTTAAGATTTTTAAATGGAACTGAAGATCCAATATTTGAATTGCTCAAAAAAGTATGTGCCCTGAGCACATTAAGGGGCAAAAAATGATGCATTTGATTTGCATTTAAAGGCAGGCTGATTTGCTAGATAGGTGTAGTTTATGCAACAGTGGTGAAATACCTGCCCCTTCTCTCCTTTTTGAAATGTTCAAAAATGTATTCTTCTTATTTGAGCTGTAGTACCTGCTATGGCTTTTGATGGAGCACTTAATTACCTCTGCCTGCGACAAAGGTAACTATTAAAATGCCATGAAGAAGAGGAGTAATCTGTGGCATATTTTCTCTTTAAGCTGATGAGTGCTATTCAAAAAGGAAGGGTGTCTGGAAGCCGGCTGGCAATACTAATGAAAACGGCAGAAGAGAACCTGGACAGAAGAGTTCCCATTCCCGTGGACCGAAGTTGTGGAGGATTGTGAGTGCGAGCAGTAAATCCTCAGCCAGCAAACATAGGAACAACAAATCATCACGTAACAGCAGAGATGACTTACCACACTCCAAAATAGTGGATATGGATAGCTGCTTTTTTTAACACTGGGAAGCATTCCAAAGCTTTAGGATGTTGATTTATACCCTTTATTTGTATTTGCCATTCAATCTAGCTTCTAAAAAGTGTATTTTATGTTTTTTCTCATTTTTGATGCGCCCTGACCAAATGTTTTGTATCCATCTTGTGATTTGTTAGACTGGACCTGCTCCCTTTTTGTGTGTTTATTCACTTATTCTAATTCCGTTGTTGAGGCAGAATATTTGGGCTGAAATCTATAAAAGAAGCTGGAAAAATTTAGTGACATACACAAAGCTCTGGACATGAAGCTTGCAGGTAGTATTTGTTCTTAAAGGAAATTGAACGGGGAGCGACGTATTAAAACGATAGTTTCTGGAGACCTCTCAGCCCCTTCTTCCTCTAGCTTCTCTCCCTTCTTCATCTAAATAGTATTGTACAATTTTATATCTAGAGCATGATTGACAAAAGTGGAGAGGGAAGAAAAAATTTAGATCTGGTTACAGGAGCAAGTCTCAAAGAGAAACTCTAAAAGCTTCTAGAATCACAGGTATAAGATAAGGATAGCATTGACATTTGCTGGGCGTTACAGTGATAGTTTCATCTCAGAAATTCCTTTTTTTCCCCCAGTCACTGCTGGTTTTTCTTTGACTATTATAGTTGCCAGGAAGATTCTTGCTTTTCTTACTTTAAAACCAGTATTTCAGTAGTAAGTTGGATGTAATGGGATGAGACTAAATTTCTCAAATTTTTACAGTAGTAATAGATTTAAGGGTTAAAAACCTATGCTTATATATCTACATATGATAGCACAATTTTCAATACCCAAATCCTAAATCTTAGGGTATGTGATATTGTCAAACATGGCCTACTTTGCTTAGTTTCTTGCATCATTCTGGGAGTAGTATTTGTAAACAGATTGTAATAAGGATAAGCTTTTATTAATAAGAAATAGCCTTTAAGTAACTTTACTTATAATTATTTGTAAAAAGGCACAACACTGCAATATTCAAGGTTTTTTTTTGTTGTTGTTGTTGCTTAAATCTTCTCTCATTCTGTACTCAGTAAGTTCTCAGTCAGCCAAAAAGAAAAAGAAAAAAAATAAAGTAAAACCACGCACAACATGCATAACACAAAACAGAGACAAATCAGTCTTTATTGAATTTAACAAATAATGTATTGAATTTAAAGGGCCAATTTGGTATGCTTTTGCAATATTTTGGTGGCATTTGAGCCAATCATTTGAGTATTTATTTATTCATTGTGCTTTCTCTTGTGAAGTTAACTACCTACTTTTTGTTTCTTAAGATCAGGTTGTGCATATTATAGGAAATCTAATCCTTTATTTAATGTCAGGTTTTGATTACACAGACTTAAGGTCTTAGTTTTTTAAACTGGCACATAAAACACTTTTGTGCTATTATTCCTATTTATGTCAACATTGTGGAATATCTTAATGCCTCATTCTAGTGGGGTATGAGCCTGTATGTCATAATAGAACATTGGAAATTCACTCACCTAAGCCTCCACCCTCACCTCCGAAACAAATAGTTAAGATAGTATCTTAACTCATTTTGTTTTTAGAGGATGTTTAGACTTTGTCACTTCCTAAAAGAAAACCTAAAACAAAGCAAGTGTTGCTTCCAGGTACTACTGTGAACTTTTTCTTTCAAGGTGTGAATTTTTTTTACACTGGCTTTTATTTTATTTTTTTAAATAATGGAAGTATTTGGCTTTGCAATTTAGTGTTATCTAACAAGACAATAAATTTCACTGTTTAGACTCCAGGGACACTTAATAGGTAGAACTGTCCTTTAAAACATTGCAGATGATGTACCACAATATTCTACATTTGTGCTCTCTCTCTCTCTCTCTTTTTTTTTTTTCCCTAGTTAGATGAAGATAAGGATGACTTGTATCCACCTTGAATCCATTACAGTAGGGACCTGGCTTTGTAACCTGACCGGCCTGGGCACAGCTGTATTTGTAACACAGGCCTTGTTTGTGCACGCTTTGCCGTGAGTGAAGTTCCTTTAAGGACAACGAAAAGCACACTTTTTTTCTTTTGAGCATATCTGCTTTTGCTTAAAATTTGCTAATTCTAAAACATTCACTCCTTCACCAATCCCAGAGACTTGTCTTGGAAATGAGCTGGTTCCAAGTCTTTACTGTGAATAAAGCACCCCCGCATTTTTGTATAAGTTGTTAATTAAACCTGTACTGCTTCTTTACCTGATTTCAAAAAAGGAGAAAAGAAATGTAGGGGTAAACTCTTTCAAAACCTCTTTCAAAAGAATTTTTTTCATTTTCATATAAATGTGATGTTAGATGACTCTGTTGGGGGTGGAGGTGGGGCATGCAGAGATTATCTTTTATCATCAAGTGATTTCTTTCAAGCCTTTAAGGGGATTCAGGTGAAGGAATCCCCATCCATGGTGAAGAGCTGGATGTTCCTTTAAATAGCCCCTACGACAGTCATAACAATAGTGATAATGCTGGATTATTTGTTAAGCCAAGGTTGCCTGCCTCATATCCATCATGCTGTTTGTAATATTCTTGCTTTTAATCAGTTTATACTGAGTCTAACTTTAGGATTTACGCTATTAAATGCATGCTGCCTATTCTGCTTTAGTTTCTAGCTTTTTTTTTTTCTTTTGGTCTTTTTCAAATTTGTAGTTTACTCTTTTATACAACAAAAATTTCATTCTGACTTTTACTAAACATACTGTGAGAATGATCATTGATCTTATTTCCTTTTTTATGTATTTGTAGAGATTTCCAGTGTATGAATGTAATAATGTCGATGTCAACAACACGATGACTTGCACTGTTTTTACATTATGTCAACGCTTTTTAGGGAATAAAAAAGCCCTATTGTATTTTTAAAGAATATCAAGTATAACCATAGTACTAGAGTGGATGTACACACAGCATGTTTTCATATGTGGCACTTTTATGTATCCTGTTGGGTTATTGTTCTAGATTGGACTGTTAAATACTATATTTGAGGCTGGGTTGTCATTTTTATAACTGTCTGGGTGTTTTATTGCCATTATTTATTACTTTTGATACACAGAATGAGCTGCATGCATTTATAGAGCAATGAGAGAATGTATTTAATGTGCCTTGTTTTTAACTGAATAAGAACCGAAAGCATGAATCAATAAAACTGATTAAAATGGTCTATTTGCTGGCATTTTGATGTTACTTGTAGTCAGAGAAATAACTTTGATTACTGTTGAAGTTTAAAAAAAGTTTGAAAATATTTTCACAAACTATGTTTTTAATGGCACTTACACATTAATTCCTTTAGCTTGATATTTTGTAATTTGATCTCAAAAGTGAATCTCTGCATAGACAGATGTAATTTTATGAGATTGCCAGGATTATTTGTATTAATTTGTTGCTGGAGCCTTTAGGGCATGACTTCTATATTTGTGCAATCCTATTCTAAAATTACATTCATCCTATTACAACTCAGCTGAATTCTTTCTTCCTTTTTTTTTTTTTTTGTCAACCAGAGCCTTTCAGCCTGAGCGTTCCCAGGCACACTGATGAATTTTATCATAACTAAAATCAATAGAAATGAATGGGAAAGATTACATAATCCATTTTGATCATCTTACATGTCAAGTTAGTGCAGGGTTGCCAAGTGTTGATAAATGCTCTGACAGAAAAAATGCTATATATTTTCATTGTCAGTAAATCAGTAAAGCTGTTACCAGTTTTAACAGAAATTTTTATAATGCCCATGTTATTTTATAGGTTTTAATTTACACATGTATATTTAGCATACTCTCCATTTGTGGTTTAGATGTGCTGCCTCCTGGTTTTGCATGCTCAAAGGCATGTGTGGGCTTTTGAAGGTTCTTTGAAATCTTACAGAATATGCCAAAGCTATGGCTCTCCTAGTTGTTCCAGGTTTATAACAATGAACTGTTATTTCAGTATTTGCAAAAAATAAACAGCAGCTCATTGTTCATTGATCTAGCTTATCGAATTTTATAGCACTTTAAAATTTATAAACATAAAATTTGTCAAAATAGAGTGCTCCTAATTTTTGAAATGTATGAAATTTGTGATATTCAAAGAAAGGGAAATGGATACTAACATCAATATTTTGTAATCTTTGTCAACACCACATTATGACTGGTATTAGATTTTACATGATGACGTTTGATTTACGAAGAAGGAAATCACTGAAGTTTTAAATTGATATGGCACCCTCATAATGGGAAAATTTCTGTATAAGAGAGGGAGCCGATGAGCCTTTTGTGTCTGTACTTTGTATTTTAGGTCTCTAATTAGCTACCAAACTTGTGAAATACATGCCGATAACGTGATGTATGTGAGCCATGATGACACCAGCGATTGTCCTGCAGATCCTGTGCTAAGAAAGTTGTGGACCCTTTGCAAAAAGCAGTAAATATCTTTGCATTTTGATAAATACCTGATCCAGAATAATAAGGTTTATTTGATCTAAGCAAAATACTGCTTAAGCAAAATTATCAAAGCTATCTTCATTCTCTACATTTGGCGTCAAATTGCATTGCTTAGCAGAAACCCTGCCATCGATTCCCTGTTAGTTAACCGCATTCACGTTGGAGTTGCTTGAAACTGTGGAAGTTAGGGTATGAATCCTATAGTCATAGATATATTTCATGTTTCAATGGAAGAGATAGGAGAATTGAATCTCATAGTACTCACTTTGGATATTAGAGCATGGCACATGGCACAACTGATTACACCAGCTTCCCAGCCATTCAACCCCACTGTTTTATGTCTTAAGCAGAGTATCTCTGCTCTAATTTTCTAGGTACAGTGACTCCTGTAGAGTCCAGGTTCATTCCTTCAGTGACTGCTGCTAGCATTCCTTCAGTGTGGTGTCTCAAGGAGTTGGGAGGCGTAAAACAATTTCTTTTTTTCTTTTGGCCCTGATGCCTCTGAAAAATAGTTTTGATCAAAGAGGATCTTGACCTGGAGGCTGGATTCTTTTATTTGCTTTAACCTTATAAAACTAGGTCTAACTTTTTTGTGATTTTTTTAAACCCAATTTAGGCATATCTGATTTTGCTTTAAAAGCTACCTTCCTCTGTTTGTCTAAGTGATCTAAATGTAATGAGCTCGATCAACATATCACTTTTTTTTAACCTGACCTTAATGCCCTCTTTTAAAGAAGCAGTTCCCTCTCCTCAACCTCCTTCCCTCAAAGGTCTTAGCGTAAATAGCTGCTTCTTCCTTTTAATTTGTTGCTTGTTAGATTTTCTCTCCTTTTCTTAAAATCATTTTTTTTTGTTTTCATCCCCATCATTAATTGATTTACAATTCATTTTTATGCATACAGAGTTTTTTCTATCCAAGTTAAGAAGCTGCAAATCTTAGATCCATTGAAACGACAGTGAGAAATATTTCATTTTATCCCATGAATCATTTGCCATCCTTATTGCTGAAAAATGGCAAAATTATGGTGTACCATGTTTTCATAAATTACCCTGCCCTCTACCCCTACCCCAGTTCATTGCATTATTTGTTTGGAAAGACTGTAAGAGTCAGTACCCAGACACTTGTGGTAAACAATTCTGATTTTACAGCAGGTTAATCAAAATTTCATAACATCACAAATTAATTCCTCTGGTACTGTGAAAAATTTTATTCATGTACAAAATATATCATCTATTTTATAACTCAAAAATAGCTTGATATTAAAGTACATTCTGTGATTTGCTAGTATAACAGAAGGAGAAGAGTGCCAAATTTCTTAAATAATGAATATAATTTTCATTGGGTTTCATATGTCAAAGTAGTCATTTATGTCCTCAAAGGTGTGTGCTTTGCACTATGTGTTTGAACACTATTAAAAAATCATAGCTTCTTCCAAAAAGGACAAATCATAGGTTTGCATTTCACATATGACCTACAAAGAATAATCTTATACGGAACCTCCCTCTCCCTTAGGACTAGCCTCGAAAGTAAAGACTGAAAATATTTCCAAAGATAAATATTTCTAAAAAGCAACCAATTAAATCAGATACTATGATGTTATAATATTGCTAAATGGAAAGATTTGTCTCTTGCCCTTAATCTCGATTTTATTAGCAGATCTTATAGGAACCCCGGTCAGTTATTTATACA